TTATTAATTTGTTGTCAAGATAAAAGAGAGTTTTCAAAATAACAGATATGGTAAAGTTGTTTCCAAATAGATAGGTATGTTGAAGCCATAGTTGAATACAAGAGGGGTTAGTGAAGGTGAGTAATTGAAGGTCACATTGTGACTGTTTATTAATTTGGGAGATGTTTTGATTAATACTTGAGATGTTAAAAGATTGGGCAAGTTTTTTAACAAGTTTAATAATATGTCTGAGTTTTTTAAAAAAGAAATGTAATGAATACTATAGGATGAGTATTGGTAATTGTAACTTTGTTTGTAAGAGATTTTGTTAGAGATTGTATAAGTAGCAGTATAAATAAGAGCATTGAATTTTGTGCTAAGTAGTTTTAATACTTTCATCAATAGTACTGTTAATAGAAGTTTGTGTAGTGAAAGTTGTTGAGTTAAAGTATTAGCAAAAGAGTTTCAGTCTTCTATAGTTATTATTTTATAATTGAATATATGATGACTAATCCTAGTATGATTCCATAAGGGTTTACTGTAGACATGTAAGAATGTCCAGATGGAGGTAAGAATCAAGTGATTATTTGAAATAAAGGTTTGACTATTGTCAAGACTATAAGAAAGAAGAAACTGTATATTAAATTGATCAGTTTAAATGTAGTCAATGTGACTACTGCTAGTATTGTTAGATCAAGTAAAGTATTTGTTATTAAAATGAGCTCCAATATTATACATATTGGAATAATTAAAAAAGTTGATAAGTTTATATTTAAAAGAAGAACTGTAAATATGATCCTGTGTATTAAAATCACAAGAATAATAAGATGAAGGTGGAGTTGAAAAGCTTGTTGAATCCAGTTGATTACTGTGTTTTGGATTTGGTTGCAAATAGTTATATTAGTAGATAAGAGATATACTGAGATAATATGAAGTTTGACATTGTTTCAAAAGAAAATATAAAGTACAATAGCTTCTCTTGTATGAGTATAAACACTGGGAATGTGAGGTTTAAGATGATTATAAATCATAATTGTTATCCTTTCTACAAAATTAATAAAGTTAGACTAGTAATAGGTAAAAAAGTTGTTGCAAAAAAAAAGATTAGTTTTGTTAAAAATTTTTGTTTCAGTAATGTTGGCAATAGATATGTTATTATTAAGACAATAATCTTGCTAAGTTTCTCTTTTTGTTGAATTATTAAAGTCTCTAACATTATGTATAGCAATAATTAGGTTAAGATGATGAGAACTTGAGTTTGAAGAATGTAAAGTAGAGTTTTAGTCAATAGGAGTTGAGTAATGATTATTAGAAAAGAAGTTAGATAAAATAAGAGTAGAGCTATAAGAATTGGATTTAAAAAGAAGGTTATAGAATAGTGGAAGAAAGTATGGAGCAATAATTATATAATCTGACAGAAGAGTATCATTAGAAAGATATATGTGGGTTTTATTGTAAAATAAATTAATAGAAAATATAATACTAGATACAGTTTTGTTGTTATTGTATTTGTCAATATGTTGAATTAAGATTTGAATAGTTTGACCATGAGAAGAAGTAGTAAATGTAGTAAAGAAAGAATTTGTTAAAGTATATATGAAGATCATAAGAGATTAAAGATGTTATAAATGATCTTTTAAAATTGTCTTCTACAAAGACTATCATTGTATGCTTGGCTCTCACAGCTGTGCAAGGTACCATAGTCTGTTCTGTATATTGGGTCTGACTATCATTAACTTGACCTTCTACATATACAAGTAAAATGATTACTGTGTATCTATTTAATAAAAGTTAATCTATAAATTGTTATTATCTTAAACTGTTTGTTTGCTGCTATGTAGTATGTAAACTACTATATTTTTATTTTATATATATTTGCAATAGTTAATTATTGTACCAAGTGATCTTATTACTTGGTTGTATTATTCCAAGAAGGTTGCAACCTTGTAGCATTATAATTAAGTTTTTTAATATATAAAATAAGTTGTATTATATTTATATTTTATTTAAAATAATTAATAACTTATTTACACTTATATTATATAGCTTATTGTATATAGTATTAGCAGATAAGTAGATATTAATTGATGTACTTCTTTCTATATCAGCTTAGGTTTTGTCAAAATTTGATTTATTATTGTTTATAATATTAATAACTTTTTTGTTCTTATTAAAATTGCATATAAACTTAAACATCTATAAGAACTTTTTATATTAGTTTTAAATGTAGTAGTAGTTAAAATAAATAATTAGATATATTGTTAATAGTAAAATTTTATTAAAGTTTGTTAACCTTATTTTAATTATATAATAAATATAATAATTTTTGTAATTTAAATTTGTTTTTTTTAAAAGTTTTAAATATTTCTTTATTTATTTTAAAAAGATTTAATTTAATTTAGTTATTATCTATTTTAAATAATCTAATTAAGGCTTCTATACTAGTTACTATACTTAGAATTTATCTATGGGTTCTTTATTTAAATACTCTAGTTCTCATATTCATTTCTTACTTAACAACTGCAGATTAATTACAAATATGACATGGTTACTAAGTTATGTTTAACTTTATACTAAATCTACTAGAACCTTTTGTATCTTATACTTATAGCTAACTTGGTACTGCTTTAGTCTAAACTATTGCTTACAATTAAGACTAATTATTAAACTACTATATTTTTATAAAGTTCACTAAGACCCTAATATCTTTCTTTTCTAACATCTTTCTTTTATTCTGAACCTACAAGACTTCTTAAATTACTAATTCAAATAACCTAATATAGTATCCTAAAATTCTTTTTCTTTGACAATTTCTAATGATTTAGTTAGTATATACTTCTCTATATATGTTATTATTCAATCCATTCTAACTGTTCCATCTAAGACTTCTAATTGTCCAATAGTACCATTGAAAATTTATGCTATCTCTTTATTTAGAATTTCTAAATAGATTTTCATACTCTGGTTTCTTAGTATTATATACTGTATCTAGTAATCTTATTATGGATTTGTACCAAAGTCTTATGTAATACTAGTTATTAATATTCCTTTATATACATATAATAGTTACATTTTGCATAGATCCCTAAGCTTCCATTCAAGATGATGTCTCTAAGATTACAGATTATCTATTTTATTCAACTAATCAATAAGACACAGTTATCATAACACAGTTATAATTTCTAAATTTCACTGTCTATAGCATTTGAATATTAGACCTGTCACTTAGAGGTTGACAACCTGTCTACTTCACTAAATTACTAAAATGCATCCACTAGTAAAAGATCTGAACATACAAATTCATCCTTATTCAATTCAAATTTTATTATATATTAAGGTTTTTCATTATAATAATCAATATAACAAGTAATTGTTTTTTCTTTTTTTCCATACATTGTCTCTATAACATAGTTATTAGGAATTGAATGCTCTAGTATAAGCACAGTAAGACTTAGGTGGATAAATACTTCTTTGATGATATAATATTGAAAGCTTCTTCGTGGTGACTTCCACTTAATTGTAGGATCCATAGGATTACTTGAATTTTCTTCGTCAATTTCTTTCATTTTATGTAACAATTAATTTTTTTTTTAGAAAAAATTCAATTTATATTTATTTTATTACATAGTGTAGTATATCATAATTTAAATCAGAATATATTTCACAATTACGCAACAATGACTCTAACTCATATTGATACATAATGTCAATTAAATTGACTCACTGTTGGTAGTCAAAATTTTCAAATTTTGGTGTATTTCACAAATGCGCCATAATGGGCATATTACTATACGTACGTACCCGAATTCAGTCAAAAGTCAAGCATAATTTATTATGGTAGCTGATGCTGAAATTTTGATTTAAAAAATCCTATCCAATCAGATACGTTAATTTGAATTTCAGCACCAGTTGCCACATTTATGAACTTAAGTTGACCAACTTGTTAGTTGACTTGAATCGAGTCTTAATTAAATCTCATTGGTCAAATTTAATCAATGATTAGTGAAGATTGTCTTGCGTTGTGATTGGTTTGTTTAATTCGGAGAAGATAACTAACCAAAAGAAGGATGATATATTCAACTTTGAACGATGAGAAAGATGGAAATGCTCTAGTTTCTGGATAACACAGATACTACACTACTACATAGCACTAAATATTAACTAAACTACTCTAACCGAACCTAATAATCGTAAGGTTATGATTGAGGAGTGGAGCTCTAGACTTCGTCACGGGTATCTTAATACAGAATCACGGAATTTGGTCATTAATTTCTATCATTACTACAGATTTTACTTATCAGTAAGTCGACACTTTATAATGTTGAACTCCAACTGAGTTGTTATTTATTTCAGTGCGAATAGCATCATTTTAATACTTATTTACATTACTACGGTACAAGTTGAGCTTATTCGATAAGGCGACTAAGGATATTAAGAGTGAGAAGTGGCATAAATTGCATTTAATGCACCATGCTAACTAATTTTGCCTAGATTCGGTCTGAGCCACCCAGCATCGATGTATCCTACGTCCGTGCTAATTAATTATGAGAGTAAGTAACGACAAAAGCGATAACCGTATTATGCGAACTAAAAGACTACTATTATAGTTTCTTTAATGATTTTTAAAGCAAATGTCCTTTATCGTAGTTAAATTGTACAGCGTGATTAGCATGCGGATAATAATCGGTATTCAAAAATTTCAAAGCAATGCATATGATCCAGACAGTAGTATATTAAACTGACCACAGACGAACAAATAGAGTAGAACTTAACATCGAAAATCAATATAAAAGCCAATAAAAATAGTATTTATTTAACAAATTTGATAGTAGCTCATATATATGATATAGAAAGGAAAGGTTACAAAATCAAAGATATCAATAAAACATTTACAATGTTAAAATGTAAACAGATAAAAAAAAAAAAAAAGGACATATCATTCACTACTTTCATTATATATTCTAACCTCGAGTGTTATGCAAATTTTGAATTGAAAATATATTTTCTTCATTCTGACTACTTTATTCCTCCTGTGGATGTCCTGCTTCAGTGGTAACATCATTGCTGCATTTATCTGAATTATTTAAATTATCTAAATTACTTAAATAATTGGAATAACCTGAATCATCTGAATTGTTAGGACTATTAATCTTTGCAACTATTACAGTTTGCTCTTTATAAAAGTCACCGTTACCGATATTGATACCCCCACCAACCAACGTAAATTTTATACAAAGCTTGTATTCTATTTGAATATATGTACCGCAATAGCTTATATTTAAATTTTCTGGAACTTTTAGAGTAAGTTTCTGTTCAAGGTTACTATTTGAAATCCTTTGTGGCTCTTCGAAAAATCGGCAACATCTTTTTTCAGTTTTAACTGATTCATCACAATTTTCAAAAGTGTACGTTGTAATTTCTTTCAAAGATATTTCTATCCTTACAATTTTAACTTTAGTTTCAAGAAAAGTAACTTGAATAGGAACGGAAATTACAGTCCCAAGCCCGAAATATTCAGGAATTTGGAATGAATATTCAAGCAGTTCATCATTAGAAACCATGTGTTTACCTTCAACATTTTTATAAAGAGTGGTAAAATAAGGTAATACTTGACTTAAAGGACAAAATATTTCGCAAGATTCTTTTTGCGGTGTATTAAAAAATCCACTATTCTGTTCAGAAATAGTCACTCTGAAGACGTAATATATTTTTCCATTTACATTTTTTTCTCTGTCAGCGATTAAGAAAGAACTAGACAAATTTGAATTTAAAGGAAATTCGAAATCATAAAACTCTAAAAGTTCCTTTCTTTCAATAGGAAATTTTATAGATTTTTCTGTTAATTTATAAGAACCAGAATAATTGTTTTTTATTCTTCCACTAAATGGAACATGATGTGTTTCTTCCAATCCTTTAAGTGTGAATTCGATTAAACTCACATTAATTTTTCTACCAAAATTTAATCTTCCTTTCAAGTAGCTCCTTGATAACCCTAGTTCTCCCCGTTGAAATGTTGTAGCATCATCTACGAATTCAAAGGTTAGATTTTGAGGAGGATTTTTGTATATAATTTCTGAAAAATTGTCGGTACGTCCACTGTTGTAAACCATTTCTTACATAAATTTTAAAAAATGTATAAAAGTTATATTATGACGGAGAGCTATATTATGATGACTATATATATAAATTTATATTTGAAGAGTTCCCATGAAATTGAGTTATCTTAACAGGTCTCCAACAAGAAGTTTATATATGTAAATGTCGTGACTTGAGTCAACACATTCTCGGAGTTGTAACTTTGACAGAATTGTGTACCAGGCTATTAAACTCCTGAAATTTGATTTTTATTGCATGCGTTAAGTAATTTTAGGCAAGTACGGGTGTCAAAGTTGTGGGTACCAACTTCAAATATGACCCAAGTTGTTATTGAAAACAACATATCTGCTATAATAGATATAACATCAAAATTTTAAATAGTTTGCGAACCCTTTTTTTCTTTCAATGAAACTTAATAATCAGATTTAGTTTCTTGGCGCATAATTTCTATAAAAGAGATCGGCTAAAAAGATGCGAGTTTGGACTTTTGGATTTCGGGTCAAATTATTTGGCAGGTTCGATTAATTCTATAAAAGGGGGATTGGTTCAAGCCGTGTCTGGTCATTAGTTACTTTTTTGACGCATTCAGGTTGAGTGAATCAAGAATACAATTTATGCAATATGTAGATCAATATGAAACTTTAGTAACGAGTTCAAATTTGCATATTATGTAAAATCGAAATTTTAAATTTCCTGTTAAAAACCCGAAATATTTTATTCAGAAAATACTACACCATATCTTTTAGACTTGAGGAAAGGCGTTTTATGAGTTATGACAATTAAGAACAATCCTGTACCACGCTTGTTCAACAACCGGAAATATTAATGATGCCATTTCTTTGTTTAATTAACCTTATCATCATACGTATTTAGTAAATCTGGTTCTCAGGCCTTATTACTGATATATTAGTAATTATTGTCATTACATTTAATTCTTAGTATTTGAGGAAATATATGAATTCGTAGAAGAGAATAGCAGACATTCGAAAAATAGGTAGAATAAATGATAATTAGAATTTTCTCATTATAAAATCGCATTCTCCCGTTTAATAAAGACGAATACAAATTTCGAACTTGGTGTCTGCTCTAGAAATTATCATCAATTATAATCATAATCCCATGACTTTAGAATTCGAAAACTCGTGACGTAACCTGGAGCTCTAAATCTAACACTAATGATTCCTAATTGTACACTACTAAGGAAGTTTATTCACGCACAATCGAGATTTCCAATGATAGGGTAGAGAAGTTTGGTTTTGGTAATATTTATTATCAATGTGTTATCATTATCCCATACCTACGTACTCCGAAAATCTGTTTTCCTTTTTTTTCAACGTACTGTACGTACGTACATGCATAGCATACATACACATTATGTGGATCTGAAAAAACTCAACATAATAAGTGTTGAAGATAATAACCATAGTCAAAACAATTGTCATGTATATTTTATGTACTTCAGACATTTTGACATTGGTTACATAATTTTACTAATAAAAGCTCATGAAAACGCCCTTTTATCAATGCCATTAAAGTCTTATAGTAGTGATTATGTACTGTTTAGACCATGCTGAACGTTTTTTGTGTGTAGTACATACATACGCATATATCTTTATCTAACATTTAGGCGTCACAGTTGTAATAATAATAAATATGCGTGCGCACGCATATATGCAAGTACGTGTACGTACATACGTATAGTACTGTGAAGAAATTCCGGATTAAGAAACAATGAGATTTCATGATCGTGTGAAAAAGGAATAAATCGAAATTAAAGTAAAGTTTTTAACTATGTTGATAGACACCAGTTTAAAGCAAAAATACTCAACATGAAGTTTCGCTCACAGTTTTTATTTAATTTAAGAATACTTATACATTCCGAATGGAATTTAAAATCTTAATTGTCTTGACATAAAGTATTCAATTCGAATTCTCTCGTATTGATGCCGCTAAAAAAAGACCAAAAATTTTTTTCTTTTTTATGTTTCACTGCACAGGATACATGCTAATCAGATTCTAAAATACATATCCGATGTTGTAATAATGATTATTAAAATATTGACTTCAAAACAATGAAAGCATATTATTCTTCGGATCTTCGAAGCCGTACTCCGTGAACGTTAAATCTGAAATCCAGGAATTACCGGTTTTCGTTCATCGATACCTACAAATGTCTAAATTATAATAAAGCCTTGTTTCCTATTAATTATGATTGTTTCTATATTCGTACTTCTTTCATGTGATAATAAGCATTGGTTGGGATTTATATAAAATTTTTTTTTCTTAAAATTTCTTGCGATCATAATTTTATATATATTTCTGCTTCAATAAATTTATTTGAAAATTAGTTCCACTTTATCCAATTCATCTTCATAATGATCGAACATAGTGAACCTTTAAACTTTTCTCTTGAAATTAATCACCCAATCACCATGACAAATGATACTAATTCTTCTGATACATTGGATGGTAATGTCGCCTGGATTTTGATCGCTGCATGCTTCACTTGGCTAATGACACCAGGTATTGGCCTGTTTTACAGCGGCCTTGCTCGGAGAAAAAACGCCTTGTCTTTAATTATGTTATGTTTTTTAACCATCCCAATCGTATCCACTCAGGTTATTCATTTTATCATATTTTATTCTTTATTTATTAGTAAAATTGAAATCTTTATTAACATGTATTATAAAATTATTTTTAGTGGTTTATTTGGGGTTATAGTTTAGCATTTAGCAGAAATGCTAGTCCCTACGTCGGTAGTTTCCAAAATATTTTCTTTTCCAATCTCGATTGGGACTCTGGTCCAACAAACTCAAGTCGAAATATTCCTGAATTTTTATTTGCTTTCTATGAATGCATGTTTGCAATTCTGGCTTCGGCCATTATCATTGGTGGTGCTGCTGAGCGTATTCGAATATTTCCTACCATCATGTTTACCTTCTTTTGGTCTACTTTGGTTTATGATGTCATCGCCTCGTGGTGTTGGTCCACAAATGGTTGGTTTGCAGAATGGGGTACCCTTGATTATGCAGGTGGCTTACCAGTACATATATCATCTGGTACAGCCGCCCTTGTGTTCTGTTTGATTGTAGGTAGACGTCTCGAAAACAATGGATTGAGGTCCCATAGAGTTATTGATGTAGTTCCCCATAACATTATTAATGTAGTTATTGGAACTGTATTTTTATGGTTTGGTTGGTTTGGTTTTAATGGTGGCTCTGCTTTGGCTGCCAATAAACGTTCTATAATGGCCTGTATAGTTACAAACCTTTCCGCTTCATTAGGTGGACTAACTTGGATGTTTATTGATTTTTGGCGCAATGAAAATTTATATGCTGTTAGCTTTTGTAGTGGTGCTATTTCAGGATTAGTCACTATAACTTCTGGTGCTGGTTATGTTTCTCCTTTGTCTGCTGTAGTTTTCGGTATAGTTGGGGGTTCTGTCTGTAATTGTGTTGCTAGACTTAAATTTGCACTTAATGTTGATGATTCTATGGATGTCTTTGCCATTCATTGTGTCGGTGGTCTTCTTGGAAATATTTTGACTGGTATCTTTGCAGATAAGAATATTGCTTCACTTAGTGGTGAAATCATACTTGGTGGTGCTTTAATAAATGGGAATTATTATCAAATTTGGATACAATTAAAAACATCTCTTATAGGAATAGTATATTCTTTCTTAGTTACGATCGTTATTCTATATTTTATTGAATACCTTTTACGTTGTAGATTAAGATTAAACCCAGCAGGAGAATTAGATGGTACAGATTTAACTGAGCACGGTGAATCTGCTTATTGTTTTGCTGATTCACCTGAAGAAAATTTTGTTAGGATTAATTAATAAAAGGAGTTTAATATGTTTATTTATTTTTGTCTTATAAATCTCAACTAACATATCATAGAAATTTTTCTATTCAGTGTTGTTTTATCTTATTTATAAACTATCTGTATAAAATTTGAAAATTAATAATTTGAGTAATGGTTCATATTACATATTAGAATGCTGATAAAATAATGTATAGTTATTGGATGCGTAGCATCCAATAACTATACATTATCATTCATTGGGGATCATTTATTGGGATCGAGTATATATGCATCTCGCTTATTAGCCTTTGAGCGGTACTCGTATTAAAATAGATCAATACAAAAAAAGTTTAAAATGAAATTAGAAACTTAAACTGTCACTATTTCTCAAGAACTCAACGATTCAACTTTATTTTTGTCATATGATTGTATAAGATTCCAGCCCTATAAAACTTTTATTATTAATATGTTCACTGGCATATGGGCTGCCGTCAATAGGAATCAAGCATATTTACATTTTAATACCTTAAATTTCGCCACTCATATCTCGATGAATTAGAAGCTGTTCTTATGAATGAATAGTCAAGTGAAAGCTTAAGACCTAAACTTTCTTTTGACTATTTAATCATGAGAATAACTTCGAAATTCATCAAGATATAAGTATCGAAATTTAGGCATTAAAGTGTCAATCATATGACCTTTAGTCATTTAATTATAAGGTAGATGTGCGACGCTGTCACGCGAAACCAGGAACGGAAGGTAGGAATCCGCGGTTTGGTATGATGCTATATTAAGAAATAATTTTACCCAGAACGATTGCCTCATTAATTAGCTGTATATACAGTATTAATACTATTACGTATTTTTGGTAATTACGCCATTTAACAAATTCGTAAATCGATAATTGTACGAATTGTTTAAAAATAGAAAATGTAAATAAATATTAGAAATTTCGGCTGTGTAGATGTGACTGAAGTTGATATCTAGCGGAGTTGTAACCAGTGTTTAAAATTAATATGTGGAAGGGGCAGAACGGCAAAAATATTATTCCTGATGGATTAACAGTACCAAGCTTGATGGAGTTAAAAAAAATTTATTTGAGCACTGTTCTTGATATGGTTCTAAAAACAAATCTAATGTTGTTAGTCGAAATTGTTTTGCTAATGTCAAAATTTGTCTAAATGTCTAAATGTTTAAATTAAATTGTATTTATTTTTTAATAGTAATTTTTAAAAAAATAATGTCAAAATTGTCTAAATTCAATTGTGTAAATGTCTAAATGTCAAAATAATTTCGACTAACAATACAAAACAGTTCCCAATCTTAACTTTGTTTCATATACTTTCGCTATAGTAGTGCATTATTTTAGAGGCCCTATTTTTTTAGAGCTCTATCAGGAATGGTATATAAATCGATTTTTTTTTCCTACCTTATCAGGAACAGCACCGACAATCCATCAGGAATGGTATTTTTGTGGCAGAATTCATACTAAAAGATTTTTTATACCTTAAAGAATAATATTGTGTGTGCTTGGTAGTTTTTAAGATCATGGTTGGAATGTGCAGAATAAAACTTTTAAATTATTATGTTATTGATATTGTAATGTGACAGATATTAGTTAATATATTATATAATTAAAAAATTAATTAATTAGATTATGTTGGATAATTAGATTATATTATGTGGAATTATATAACTGTGCAAAAATAGAAAATTTATATATATGAAGCTATTTGTTTTTGCATATATTTAATGTGTGATTAGCATGCCAAGATATATTAGTTATGTGGGGCTTGCTCAGAATTTTAATACTGAATTTTAGATGCTGGGTGGAATTTCGGTTGAGTTGCATTTGATTGAAATTAATTTATAAAATTAATCATTTACATGTGTTTGTTAGTAACTTCAGTCAACTGAAATTGTGACTTACGACAATACTTTATGAAAAAATTTAATTTAATTATTTATGCAATGTTGGGTTACTGGAAAAATTGATGAAATTAAACGTGTAATTTTGTCGTATTGGCTAATTTTATGAATTACTTAAGAAATTATTTGTATGATTAACTGTGTGATGATTTGATTAGCATCACGGCTATAGATGCAGAAATATGATCGGTGATGTAACTTTTTTTATGTCCCGATGGTCGTAACTTAAGATATGAATGATGCGTCAAAAGGTCTTAACTTAAATGTGTCGTAATAGTATGCATGTGTCGTAACATTTTGCATGTGTTGTAACATTTGACATCTGTCGCAATATTTGGCATGTGCCGTAGCATTTAGCACATAGCAATATGAATGTGTATTGTAACATTTAATACGTGTTGGAAAGAAAAAATAAATCTAAAGACTAATTAATAGTTTTTTTTTAATGAAAATAAAATAGAAATACTTTTATTTTCATACAGTATATTTTATTATCATAAATGAAATTCATGCCATTAAAATGAAAGTTTGCAATTAGCTAGCCTGAAATTTATTACATTTTTTTAAAATAAATTTATATCTTTTGCTATTGAATTAATAATTATTTAATCTATAATTTGGTATTTAAAACAATATCAACAAGATCCTCTGGATCAAAGTTCATATTGATGTCATCTTTAACACTAGTATTCACAGCATTAATAGATAATTCAAATGATAGTGTTTCTTTTTCTTGAAATACTAGATTCCAAAGATTTACAATGTCATCTAAAATTAAACTATTCTGGGTTAATAAACCTAGGTCTTCATTAAATATATCACAATTTTTACTTGTTTCTTTCTCATTTACAATATAATTGTCAAGACTATCATTAATATAATCATCAATTGTTACAAATCTTATTATTTTACATAACTCTAATTCAGTCAACTTACAATTGAAATAAATAAACTAATTTCATATATTTGTCAGATTATATAATCTGATCTTAGACATTGTTTCAAACTTGTTAACTCTTAGACATGTATGTTTATTACTAATAAACCACTTAAGAATTAAAAAATTTCTCTCGCAATTTGTTTGTGATGACAAAATGCTAAAAAGTCTTAGAACAAGTTCAGAAAGATGATATGATCGATTTTTAATAGAACTCCACCACAACTGAGAAGTATCCAATTCTTGGATATAAGGAAGGTCAAATGGTGTTTTTTTGGTATTAAAATAACAGAATTGTGAAATAAGTTCTTTATATTCTTGTTCAGAATATCCTAATTCTTTCTACAATTTAAATACTGTTATAGTGACATTATGGAATGTTTCATTTTGCAGACCTGATCCTATAAAAAAAAAAAATTTAAAAAATAAATTAAAAGAAAAATAAAATAATAATAAATTAAAATACTAAAATTTGTACTATGATAGAGTAGATGAAAGTAGTAATAAAAAAGATATAAAGGATGCTAAAATTCTATATAGTATTGATTAAAGATTTGAATAGCAGCAGGTTTAAATTGATTGAATTCAGAAATCCAATATATTGCAACAGTCAACTTTATTAGATATATATAATAGTCAGCTAAAGTTGCTGTACTAGATTCTAAAATATTAATACAAGTCTTTATAGGAGCCCAAATTAAATGAATTTGCTGACACATAATAAAAAAATCTTCACTATGTAATAAATCAGACACTTCTATTTTTATAATCATATTTGGATATTCAAGAAAAATCTACATAATAATAAGATAATAATTAATATATTAATAATATATGTAACAATAACTGTATAATATTAAAAAAACTTATTCAATTGAATATAAATCATGTGAGTAGTATAAAATTTGTAGTATTATACAAGGATCCCCAATGAGTTTTATATCAAGCTTCCAAGCCTTTAGACTTTATTCTCATACTTTTTAACCCTTATCATAATAAAACTAGTCTTTGATGAGATTTGTTAAAATGTACTATAATTTTTTCATATTAGTTTATAAATGTTTTTACTTCACAAAACTTTATCAGATCTGTTACTATTAAGTTGATAACATGAGCAATATATCTAATGTTTAATACATGTAGATATTTTCTATATACTTTTTCTTTTACAGATTTAAGATTTGCTGCTGAATCAGTAACAACAGCAGTAAATTTTTTAGATCCAATTTTCTCCATTATATTTGAGATTTCTGAGACAATAAAGTTTTCTGTATATGATTCTAATAATAGTTGTACAATGAAATCAAATATTCTTTTCATTCTGTAGTTGTCACAATATAATTATACAATGATTCCCCATGCTTTGAGATCCACCTATCGAGAGCTAATTATTTTTATAAATCTATTAGTTAAAACTCTTAAAGACTGCAATAAGTAAAATAATTAAAAATTAATTAGGATTATGCATACTTAATGTTAGATGTTCAACATGTTCCAATTCATTGTCAATATTATTTTGTACGCATGCAACTTCTTCATCTAACAATCATTCAAATAATGTTGTACGTGAGGGTAACACATATGCGGGATTAAGATTTTTAAAGAGATTTTTTATGTATGGATTCTCAATAACTTCAAACAAAATATTTGCCATTACTCAAGTTTTTAAGAGAAGTTTATCATAATTAATATTGTCTTCTGAAACTTTATTAAGCCAATATCGCCGAATATCCTCAGGAACATTTTGGCAATGAAGTGCAAGATGGGACCTTAGAATATAAGGCTTACCCCTCTGCCAAGATTTTTTACAATTAAACATTCCGCTTTATAATGTACTGGACATACTTTTTCACCCTTAACCACATAGTCCCATACTTCATCGAATGTAGGTCCGCCTCTCTTGACTTTTTTATAAGTTAAGTCGCAGTTAGTTTCTGACTCTGATAGTGTGGATTCTAATGGCGTAGAGATACCAGAATTGAGTTCGATTAAAGACCTATTACGAAACTTTCCAATTTTTGGTTTGCAACTTTCGCTCGATTTTGTTTTAAGATTTATTTATTTTTTAACTTTCGTTCAATTTATTTATTTTTTAATTTTCGTTCAAATTATTTATTTATTTATTTATTTTAATCAAAAAAAAAGTTTAATTCAAATAAACTTTTTTAGACTCCAAATCAGATTACGTCTATTACATTTCTGCGTCACGTCTAATACCAGAATTACGTCTAAAATCTTAGTTACGGCAAATGTCTGTTATTACGACATAGGCCAGCTACAGCACATTGACGTAACTGCGTATCTTTTTGATGTAACCACGTGCTCCCAAGTTTCTGCACCTATAATGCACACATAAGATCAGCGTAATATCCAGTGGATAATGATTACAATAAAGGGTCCTTTGTATAGTACTTAGCCATAAATATATTTACTGTTATTGAATAAACATTGAATAAACATTTACTGAATAAACATGCTTAACTGTTTTCATAATTGGTTTGTAAACAGTAAAAAATTTTCAATACAAATATAAAATCGGATCATATTTCATCTTGACTTTATATCTTTCAAAAAAAAAGAATTATCATTCACACTTAACTAAAATGAGCTCATCAATATCTGAAGTTCAAACAGAGATTTTGATAGATGATGTTCCGCACGGAGAAAAAAAAATTGATGAATATTTCGTATCACCAAACATGGAATGTATAGCGACTTTAAGTTACGAAGATAAATCGATTGTTGTATGGATCGTTACAAAGACCTTTACGAAAGATCTTATTGTCAAATACGACTGTTCATTAAACGTTAATGATCTTGAATGTGCTCTAACCGCCGATAATTTTTGCAAAAACCCTGATTTTAAGTTTGAAAGTCTATTTTCAGAATATATGTTAGCAGGAATCTCAGATTGTAAACATGTCATATTAGAGTTACCTTATGTTTTTGAAATGAAATTTGGTTAGTTAAAATTAAGATATCGATAAAGTTAAATTAGATTTCATATTAATAAAGTTTTATTTTAACAGCAATTATTGACATCACAACTAAATTAAGACAAATATTGAGTGCCCAAGGTTTAGAAGAAAGAACAAGAGATGATAGAATTGCCTTTCTAGAAAATGGAGATCTAGCAATTGTCAATGGTAATCCAATTTATCGAGCCTATATCTTTTCAAGATCAAATTCTAGTGGAAAACATAAATGGACTTGCAAAAATAGTAT